AGAAAGCGCATTTGCTCTTATCTAGGAACCAACTTTAGCATAGAGTGTGACCTGTTAGTAAAGTTGAACTTGTACGAAACCACCATTATATATGTTTGAACAATTTGACCCAAGCCGGGCATCATTTATGGTCAATTTGACTTGAGTATACATTTAGTTTGAAAAACTGTCGTGAACTCCTCCAAGGTATTACGACATGTTTATGTCGTTGAGCTGTACACTAGTGGCCAATGTCCCTTTTTGTAGGTATGCTACCGTCAGTGCAAGATTTCTTTTCCTTCTCAACCTACAAGTGCCAGTTATCTATTAGAAAGAGGTTAATCTTTCTCGGAAATTCTACTAGCTTCAGTTTCAAGGAGCCCTTATATCACTGGTATTCCAACTTTGCTTGACTAATCAAGTTAAACACTCCACCCATAGCATACTTAAGCAAGGCATGTATGTGCCATTAACTCTGGAGTTAATCCGGCGGATATTTTAATAGTGATCATAGAACGAGTATTGATGTCTGCTTATGAAAAATTTTCCATTAGTCTCTATGGTATCCTGAGGTTGTCTTGACATTCTCTCAGCATCACCTTTTATCAACACATTGGTCGCTCCATTGTCAACTCCATTCTCTCGTTGTGCCATTTTATAAGAGAAGAATTTTAACATTAATACAAAGATTTGTTGTATTAAGTAGTAAAAATGTATTAACTTGCATTGTTCTACTCACTGTCTAGAAATCTTCGGCTATAAATATTTGATACCTATTGTCATCACTCTACCCAAAAGTCACCTAGGTTGAGTTATGAGATGGCCGACGCCAAGTTAAAGAGGATACATGCTCTGAACCATCAACTACTTTTGGTTCTTTGCTTCCAATAAGAATCTCCTAGTTCTTTTTCCAAATCGGTGAAGGCTAACTAATCCAAATCAACCCTTAGGATCGGGTTATCAATTTCACACTAGGCTGAGAATAAAGAATTCTCACTTTTAGAGAGTGGTGCAACGATAATGAATAAATCAATGGAGAAAACTAATACAAAATATATGTATGTAATTGCGTATATTGATTAGCTCATAAAGGCGAACTAGAAATAAACTAATTTGTGTAGTTACTATCACTGCATTATTTTTTTCACCCTTTTATATTAATAAATAAATTCATCATTAATTTTTAATACAAATTTCTAAGATAAGATGATAACTCATTAATACATTAAAATATTCATTTATTATCCTGAAATAATTCTCCCCATGTTCACGAATTCTGCATTGTAAAATTGCATTGTTGATTATGGAAAAAAAATATACTAGTGCATAAGAAAATAAATATGCAATGATGGCAGAAAGGAAACATGCATGCAAACTAAAAATGCAGTGCAAAACAATCAAACTAAGATGCAATGAATAACATGATAATTAAGATACCTACCAAAAAAGTCGGAATATTAACTCCCATTAATCATTACAAGTAAAATTTAAAGGAAGAATTGGAACCTACTATTCATTAATACATCAAATTTAAAGAAAGAATTGGTGACCAAACCGTGGACTTGTTGTTCAATTATTTAAGAAAAATAGGTAATATTGACGAATTGTGAGCATGAGAAGTGAACATTTTGGATAACAATAAAGATTAATATTACAAGATGTAAGAAACAAATTTATCACCAGTGAGATCTAATAAAGAGTGGGGTCTTCAATTTCATCTCACAAGTAAGTTGCAATTTGGATCATTTTGTTTTCATCCATTTGTCTCCATTATTATAATTTCTCCCAAATGCTTAATTCTTGTCACTTATCTTTGTGTGATTGCCCCCTCTTTCTAGAACCGACATTTAGCCAATAATGACTCAACTAATGGATTCTCCTTTTGATGACGTGCTTGTGTCTTGCTTCAGACATCGTTGATCGACTGCTCCAACTCCTCTCCACCATTCCACGCCCTACACTCACGAACATCTCTTTTGTGCCCTAGAGCTTCCCTTATGAGCCATGTTGTTTCCCCAACTTAGGAATTGGTTTTCTTTGAGTTAATGTGTCTCATGCATATCAAGGTTAAGTCTTTATGAAATTTCATTTTTTATTTGAGGTTTAGAAAAAATAATTAGAATTAGGAAAGTGGGAAGAAGAGGAGCTAGAGAAGATTGAAAAAAATTGTGTTTGATCTATTTATTATTACTTTAGATGTTCATCATATTCTCTTATAATATACTTTTTTAGCCTAAAAATTTAGATTTTTGCTAACATAAGCACTACGTATTGACTTTTACTACTTCCAACATTTATTTATTTCTTACAAACCAATCAACTAATTAATGTTCTTGACCTTTTGCATAAGGGTACAAAACAACATCTTAAAGAAATGGTTTAAAATTGTGCAATATGAGTCCACCTCAATCTCTTTTTGAAAAATTTGCAACGAGGATTACACCTCATTAGGTATAAGCCTTTTTGGGTGCTACATAATATTTATGCATCAGATAATGTGAGGCTCGCCTCAAGATGCTCTTCACTTCAGCTGTAACGAGGCATGCACTAGTAGATCTAAGGTTTTTCTTAAAATAAATTTAAGTAACCATATAATATATATTTGAGGATGTACGTGAACTCTTGAAGTTGTCTATGTTAGCATATTGATTATTTTAAAATTGAATAAATAGTCTTATTAACTAACATTAATTAATAAAGAGGAATAGAATTGAGGTTTAAGATGATGAGAAATGAAAAAATATGAATACAATTGTGTATAAGATGAGGAAGAAATAAACTGTTATGCCGATGATTTTAATGAAGTTTCATTGAATTATATAAATTCTATGGGACTTTTGAATTTATAATTTCTAATCTTAGCGATTTGTTATTTTTTTTATTTCAATGGAGGGCAATATTAGTGCGAGAGAGATTACTTGTATCGAGTATTTTAAATTGTTAGAATGTTATATTTTTTTATTTTTATATAACCATTTGTATTTAATGATTTAATATTTGGATGTTACTATGTTTCTTTTTATATTGGATAATTTCTTATTTTTACTATATTAGAATGTTATTATGTTATATTTTAATGTATTAATAGATTAGGATGTTAATATGTTATTTCTTATTCTATATTTTGAACTTAGTTTAAAATTTTTTTAATTTTGCATAATTTGTTGGTTTTGAGGCTTCCACCACACTCCACAAACAAAAAAGGCCTCAATACCTACTTGCATAATTTTAAATCTTTCTCAGAAAAGTTTAAGTCTTGTGAGTTTGATAAAGTTAAAGTCTTCAACTTTTAAAAGGACTAGTTAGTAGAAGCAAAGACTTGCGGTTTGTGTTCATAAATTTATGGGGTTATTGAAGGATCTTTTAATTATTTTGGAAGTTTATAAGGATTCACAATAAGAAAAGTGCAGTTTTTGTTTTCAAAATTCAAGTATTTTGAGTATATTCTTTCACATTTTTCTTTTTTCTAATTCTTTGAGAATCAAAAGGGAGGAAACCTCTTTTCCATGTAGATTTTCTTTTTTAATTTGCACTAGGACCAGCTTTTCACTTGTGTGATTAAAATGGATACATCTGGTTTGCGTTTTGGTATGACCGTCACGGTATTGGTGATTGTCAATGGTTTCAAAATTCATACTTGTTATTATGGGTACGATAAAAGCCTTGTGAATAGTAAAATTGTGAAAAGGGCAGTGAGAATTGATTTCTTTGGAACGTTTTCTAAGGTTATTGAATTATATATATTGAATGGAGTGTGGTGTGCTCAAATGTGGTTGGTATATTACTTTCTACAAGAGGAGGTAATATAAACACAATGGACTAATTGACATCAAACCTAGATTATGACTTTTGGGTTATGGGTCATCTATATTAACTTCACAGGCACATTAAGTTTATTGTACAAGTTTTTCATTCAAATAAAGAGTTAGAATTGAATGTTGTTATATCGTGTAGTTTGTAAAATAGTGGCCCATGTTAGATGCGATATCTCACCATTACAGAATCTAGTAGATAATAAAGCTCAACATAATTGTTATTATCAAGAATCAGCACACTTAACATAAATTATGCTACATTCTTTTGAGCGAAATGATTCAAGAGCATTAGTGCTTTAAGAGATTATTGAGGAGGTGGATGCTCACGTTTGAACTCCTGAACTTAGTTCGGCCCAAAAATTGAAGAGATCCTACTATTGTTATTTCAACAATGTAGGAGAGAAGTAATAAAAGTAGGTTTATTCTTGCTTTAGCGGATGAAGATTTTGAAGTTTGTGAAGTAAATAAATCAAAGACGGGAGAGAAAGAGAAGTAGAATAAATTAACTCTTTCAAGGGTGTAGAATCAGGTGTGTGATTGAAGTAATGCATTTGCATATCTATTTTAGCATGTTTCAATTATATTATTGTAAAACTAGCATTGCTCAACTTATAAAATTGTACAAGTAGTATTTAAATCTATATTTCTAATTGTATAGTATTTTCACAAAGTTTCGGTTCTATTATAACAAGCATTGTGTAGCATTCAAATTTACTATTAAGTCACGTATGAACATGTTTTAAACTTATTGGTAATCAAATTTCAATCTTTTAATGGTAAATTGAATTGGTTGGAGGATAAGATGGAGGATGTGATCAGGAAGTCTGGTATTCTTGCTCTTCAAGTTAGGGTGTTGTTGGGCCGTTGGACTCGCAAAGTGGATAATCTTCTCCGGGCCATATATTACTGACTTCTTTAAAAATTTTATGATTATTTATTTAACATTCATATTATAATTAATATCAAGTTGAGCATGTTTTATTGTTTTAGTTTTATCATTTGCTGAGTTTTGATCGCCTTATTCAAGGATTTCAAGGTTGTCATTATCCACCCTGTCCTTATTTGATGTTATGCTTGCCACTATTTCACTTTGAGTCATGGTTAAGTTATCATTGTTTTAGTTTATATTTATATCATATGATAATTACTTAGTTTTTAGTTTAACATTTTTAATTTAGTTGCCATTTTTTTTTATTTTTTTTCTAGTTTGCTTCTCTTGTGCATCATAAGAGTTTGCCAGCGTGAGAGATGTTTGGGAAAATAATGATGCGAAACATTTTATACCTACCTCAATGTTGCTTCTCGTGAAGCCCCATGGAAGGCCAACACGACTCACACTGGTAATGTCCATAAAGTTTAGTTTGTAATTTTTATGGCTGTTTTTAAGAAGTTATTTTCTCCGGCACAGCTTTATAATCATATTTACAAAAAGTTTTAGCCGACCCAAACAAATGCCAAGATCATCATTTATTTAAAGGCATTCACAATTATTTATGCAATCTATCATTATAAGAAGATCATGCACTTTCTTTATAGTTTTTAGTTGAAGGTTTCATTATGGCGGCGGAGTTCAGAATCGGACATCCAAATATTGCTTTTGTAGCTTTCTGTAGGTCATTTTATTGGCAGAGCTGATGCCGTGCAGGCTCCTTATCTAGGCAGAAGACGCCATTGGAGGCCTCCAACTTAGCTTAACCTGATCCAGCCAAATTTTTCATTGCAGAGGATTTAATAGTTTAGTTTGTATATAATCATGTAGAACTCATGAAGTTCAATTACATTGAAATAAAAAGATAAATATTATTCGCGTCCGACTTCTCATGTTGTTTTATTTGGCAGCAATGTAGCTCTACAAAAATGTGCATAGTAATATATTGTATTTCATTTAGGTATGTTTGGGACAGTTTTCATTCTGCTTTGCTTTTCAGGCTGCAATATAGTTCTGTTTGAGAAATTACTTGTTATTTTTTAAAAATTTTTGTGATAAAAAATTATTTTTTTCAACCTAATGTGCGTTGGCTGTCAAAAGAGTTACGGTCTAACCTTTTGAAAATAAAATAAATTTGTAATAGTCATTGCAGGTTTTTTAAAAATACTTTCTTTTACAATTTATTCTTTTTATTATTATTATTATAAAAGAATAAGGACCAACTAAGAACTCTCTCAATGCCTACATCAAAGAACTTTATTTTCCTCTTAGTTAACCGCATTTAAAGTGTAAAGTAAATTAAATGTCGACGTATTATAATCTTTTGAGGTGTTACCCAGGTCTTTTTGAATTTATTTGAAATTGATCTATTAAAACAAATTTCAAATTCAGTGAAAAATGCTTGTCATGGTCCATCGCTATTGCTGCTTGCTATCATTCGTTGCTAGTTTCCGAAGTATTTTCCGATCAATCTGAATGCATCAATTTTGTTAGTTCAAAACAATAAGCTGAGTACTAGTTTGTAAATAACGATGTTTAAAATATTTATGTTGTTTTCTATGGAATGACATTGAGGGTGCCCCCAAAGAAGTCTCTGCTCCCAATTTTATATCATGAAGCCCTTCTTTTTTTATAGACAATAGGAGGGGGTAAGAACTATCAAAATTATATATTTAGCTCTGCTTTGAAAAGAAAAGTAAATGATATTTTAGTTCTTGTTATTTTGACAATTTGATCGTCTTAAGATCGATGCAGGCCTTTATGTTAATATTTGTCGGTCGACTGAAATGAGGTGGTCAAAGGAGTGAGCTTGGTTAGCAGACTGAAGTTAGAGGATCGAGGGAGAGAGTTTGGCCTACCAACTAAAATGAGGTGGCTGACTACTTAATTGTCTTAAGATATGTGCAGACTATTTTCTTAAGTATACAATCACACCATTCCCTCCTTCGTAATTACCTCCACAAAACCCATCCAATCTTACTCTGTCGTTATAGCCGCGATCGCCGCATGGGGGCGCATATTGGGTGTTCCTAGGCTCTTGGATAAATTTTTATTACATAAAATTTGAGGTTACAAATGAGAGGTACCTTCAAAAAAGTCCTCGCTCCCATTTTTACATCAAGTAGTATTTTTATTTATAGAAGATATGAGAGATAAAAACTACAAAAATAACATATTTGATTATGCTTTGAAGAGAGAAGCAAATGTAATTTAGTTCTTTTTATTTCGACCGTTTGATCGTCTTAAAGTCAATGTAGACTTTCATGTCCATATTTGTGGACCGACTAGTGGCTGAAGAAGAGAACTTGGTCATCAGATTGAACTGAAATGATCGAGGGAGAGAGTTTGACCGACCGACTAAAGTAAGGTAGCCGACAACTCAATTACCTCAAGATTTTATACTGTAAAATTAGAGCTTATAAATGAGGGGTGCCCTCAAGGAAGTTCCAACTCCCATTTTTATATCATGAAGCTCTTCTAGCTTAAGATCAAGTCAAACTTTTATGTTCATATTTGTCACCCGATTGAAAGAACCTGGCTAACCAACTAAAATGAGGTGGCCGGCTGTGCCTCAAAATCCGCAAAGACTATTTTTCAAATATAAAATCACACCATTCCCTCCTCCGAGCACCTACCGCGAAACCTACCCGATACGTTATGGCCGCGATCGCCGCCTCCACCGCCAACCGGATATTCAGAAAACCGAGCATCAACTCCCTTTCCTCCTCATCCAAGTACCCGTCTTCCTCTTCTCCAATTTACGTCAGCTTTCTGCAACCGAGACACCGGATTGGCTCGCATATGCTTGCGGCGTCGGCCGGGCAGGAGGTATCGGTCGCTGCTGTGGCGCTGGAGGAAACGGGAATGGGGACCTCCGCGCAGAGGCCAGATTCTTTTGGCCGGTTTGGGAGGTTTGGGGGCAAGTATGTGCCGGAGACCCTAATGCACGCCCTGACGGAGCTCGAATCTGCCTTCCGCTCATTATCCAGGGATCGGGAGTTTCAGGTCGTTATACAAGATTAGCTATATAAATTTGACATTTATGTGCTTTATTTCTGTGCTTTATCTGACATATGTCGTTATACAGATCAGCTATATACAGATTAGCTCGAATCTGCATTCCACTCATCATCCAGGGATAGGTTTCATTCGATTTTGTCACGGGTTTAATGGAAATTAAAATTTGTGTTAATACCATATCTCTTGCCTTAATGGGGTGTTTGGTAGCATACTTTTAATAGGATTTAGGCATGGATTTTTGGTAAACTGAGCCAAACATAAAAAAATTGAAAATTAAATCCAATGCTTCGTTAAACCAATTTGCGTTCTATCTCTGTTTCTTGTCTCTTTTATGATGTAAATCCGGATTTATTAATTTGGATTGTGGGGCGGCTTTAAAGGATTCACTCCGTCGTCACTCAGGAGCTCCATCTCCGTTGCAGAGGATTCGTTAAATCCAGATTTACTGGATTTAATAGATCCTATTTAATGTAAAATCAGGTTGCTGCCAAACACAGCCTTAATTTGTTATGCCTGGCTACTAGTACCATTATCTGTTGGGTTTAACTTCACTCCTTTCAGTAACTGTAATTTTTTTCATATTATTTCATCCTTAGTTTCTTAATCTCCAGCCGAATCATTGGAACTTAAACAGTTTTGCTTGCATTTTTTCTTAAACTTAGTGATTTAATGATGGTCAAGTTTCTTTTATAACAGTATTTATTGTATAATGGATTGATGATTATTGGAGTATCAAACCATCTTCTGACAACACTACTTCTTCAATTTGTGTCTATTATAATTTATACAAACATCTCATTTTGTTTCCTTCTTTATTTCATTTTCAGAAAGAATTAGATGGCATTCTTCGAGATTATGTTGGACGGGAGAGCCCACTTTATTTTGCAGAACGACTTACAGAGCATTACAAAAATTCTCAAGGAGAGGGGCCACAAATTTTCCTGAAAAGGGAAGATCTTAACCACACTGGTGCACACAAGATCAACAATGCTGTTGCACAAGCTTTGCTTGCAAAGCGTTTGGGGAGGAAACGAATTATTGCAGAAACTGGTGCTGGCCAGCATGGTGTTGCAACTGCTACTGTATGTGCAAGATTTGGATTGCAGTGCGTTATCTACATGGGCGCTCAGGACATGGAAAGACAATCACTAAATGTCTTTCGCATGCGCCTTCTGGGCGCCGAGGTTTGTAGATCTTTTTCTCATTCCTGTTAACTTCATATTTGCACAATTTATGCCTACATATTCCTTCCTGTAAAAGGTCCTGTCTTTTTTTAGGTTTTATAAATTTTAAATTATGTAGGATACATTTGTTTTTACCATTCTAGCCTTGGATTTATAATTGCTGCAATGGAAATGAAGCCAAAGCCCCGTCTGAAAAAAAGTTAATTCATTGGAACAATTTTTGGCACTCCTTAGACTGGTGAGAAGAATCATTTGGAAGGTGTATTTGGAGGAAGTGGATGATGAGAGAGATTCATTCTGCCCTTTTTTATTACTTCTTACCAACATTATAAATTTTGTGTGCTTTTGAAGGGTTGGATTATCTATTCAATTCCAATAACTTGGTGTTGACCTTATTTCAAGGCTGCATTTTTTGCTATTATTATTTCAATTGCTTGTTCCAATTGATGAGGTTCTTTGGCACTCATGTTTATGCAGGTGAGGGCCGTTCATTCTGGGACAGCCACACTGAAAGATGCCACTTCAGAAGCCATCAGAGACTGGGTAACTAATGTTGAGACCACCCACTATATTCTTGGATCTGTTGCAGGTCCACATCCATATCCAATGATGGTTAGAGATTTCCATGCTGTGATTGGCAAGGAGACGAGGAGGCAAGCGATGGAAAAATGGGGTGGCAAGCCTGACGTACTCGTTGCTTGTGTTGGTGGTGGTTCAAATGCTATGGGTCTCTTTCATGAATTTGTTGATGATCAGGATGTTAGGTTGATTGGTGTTGAGGCTGCAGGATTTGGTTTGGAAAGTGGAAAACATGCAGCAACTTTGACAAAAGGAGAGGTAGGAGTTCTACATGGTGCCATGAGTTATTTATTACAAGATGATGATGGACAAATTGTTGAACCGCATTCAATCAGTGCTGGGTTAGTAACATGTCTCTCAAGATTTATAAGAATTTATGATCGTATTAAGCTTTTTAATTGTTGATGATATTGATTGTTTTTTTGCTATATTTGACAGTTTGGATTATCCTGGTGTTGGGCCTGAGCATAGTTTTTTGAAGGATATTGGGCGTGCTGAATATTACAGTGTGACAGATGATGAGGCATTGGAAGGTAATTCAAGCTTTTGTTGCTTTTCAATTCCATATCTTATTCATCAAGATGGTTAACATGAGCGACATATTTTTCAAATTCTTTTGTTTACGTAGTATATACTAAATGTAATACGTGCTCATGAAATTCATGCTTTTGTTGTTCTGTGTTGGAGTTTGAACTCCTCATTTTACATACTATTCATGTTTCTATAGCAATCTGTTGATTTAAGATAACGAGTTACCTCATGAAGTTCTTTTTAGAGGAAATCACTTATGAATTACTATGAAAAGTCTGAAATGTAAATATTTATCTACAAACTTTAGACACACAAAAGAGAAAATGTGATTGTTTCAAGTTAGATGCTTGAGTTGCTTTTAGGCATTTTTAGGGTCCTGTTGAACATAACTTTGCAAGTTTCAAGTAACTCAATATTAACTGTGACTGCCCTTTGGCTGTTTTGGTATCATTGTGCTAATCATATTCTTAATCGGATTATTGTGATGGTAAGCTGCAGTAAAAGGTATGCTATTAGATTACTTGGTTATCAAAAGCTTGTTTTATACAAGGAGTGTTAGTGAATGCTATGGTACACCATGTAGTCAAGTTTAAACTAAAACTTTTGCTTCATCCTCATTGAGGAGTGGGAGTGGGACTAAAAGCAGTGTTCTCTCTTTACTTCTTAATCTTGATTAATTGATGTAAGTATATATCAAATGCATTTGGAGGGAAAAATGAAAAATCGCCTACACAAAAATAGGAAAAATATTTACCACATTATATCTCTTGGCTGAATAACCAACAACACATGATTACCTTCCTTTAATTTCCATTTTATAGCATTCCATTCAATTCTAATGCTCCTGGACTGTCTATATGGGGTCGTCGAGCCTTCAATGTATGTGTAGATCTCCTTCACTTCCATTTTGGTCAAGTTTTTGATCAATTTTGAAGATTCATTTAACATTTCCCTCAAGTTCGACAATAAATACCTTCTATTCGCAACTCAGAAGTATTAAGGCTCTTAGTAAAAATGCATGCTAGTTGATATTCTGAGGGTGTATAGGCATGGGGATTAGGCATTCTTTTAACTCCTCGTCTCATTCTTCTATCTTTCATACAAATTCAATGGGCCCTTCCGCTTAATTCTTGACTCATTCAAGATAAGTTTTTAGTCATAGCAGTTTAAAGATTTCTTGGGCTACTAAATTTCCACCACGGAAAGTGCTTTAAACACGTATTATTCTCCTATCCCGTATTTGACATGCATAATTGGTTTTTCTTTTAAATAAACTCATCTTCTCATATTATATTTTGGATAATGTTGCATACGACAAAGGATCTTACCTGTGTTCCTCTTGGATCATGTATGAGTTGACTACTAAATTTCCATCATGGAATTTGCTTTAAACAAATATTAATTTCCTATCCGTATTCAACATGCATAATTGGTTTTTCTTTTAAATTGAACTCATCTTCTCATATTACATTTTGGATAATGTTGCTTGTGACAAGGATCTTTACTGTGTTCCTCATGGATCATGTATGAGTTGACATACATTGGTTTGCACCCTAGGTTTGCAATTTTGTTCAAGTAATGTGTAACATATTTTGGTTTTGAGGTGAATATGCCCTGCTTTCAATTCTGAGAAAATACTTCAATCATTCAAGCTCTTTTATCTCAAATTTCCTTGATCAGATCTTTTTGTATTTTGTTCCTCATCATTCATGGTAACATTAAGATCATCAACGAAGGCTAGGAGAGTTGTCTCTTCTTTCTTTGCTTAAATGCTTGATGAAGAGTGTATAGCTTCTTTTACTCTATTATATATCCTATTCGTTTCACTACCTTGGCAATTGCTCCAAGGAGCTTTTGGTCATTGCTTTAGCCCATACATATTTTTGTTAGCTTGGACACCCTTATAGCTGTAGAGACAGAATCCAGTTGACTTGGGTCAAGCAACTTAAGAATTGGACTTGGCTTAGTTTTACTAAAAGTTGTGCATGTTCGGCTCGAGCTAATTTTGATACATGAAGAACATTTTTTAGGGGTAATAGGGGGTGTCACATGTATATTTGTTACCCCTATCATTGTAGCAAGAGAATTAATTGCCGCTATAATTTTTCTACTTTTAGGGCATGGAGTATGAACGCTGAAGTATTTTGAGATTTGAACTATGTGATCTTTAGCTTTTTGAGTCAATTACCCATGAGTTACCCAAATACTTTTTAGAGACATGAACTTAAAGAGTGTTAGGTATGGCTCATATACCAGAAATTGGAGTATCTTGGAATGAAGATGTGTCTTTTGGATTGAAGAAATGTGTCTCTTGGATGAAGAGATATCTCTTGGAGATAGGTGGGTTGGGGGAGCGAGGGTGTGTTAGTAATTTTATTTGTGGGTTTTATCTATATATATATAATGTGTAACCCTATGAAGTATGTACTAAACTTATGTGAGATAGTGAAATCGCTGTCCTGCTCTCGAGGAAGTAGGCATATTACCGAACTTCGTTAAATCTTTGTGTGTTATTCTGGATTTTGTGTTGATTCTTGTTTTTCTTCGCCCTAATTTCTCAACAATTGGAGGCTCTAGGGCGGGAGGAGTTCGAGATCAACGAATCGCGACAGACAAAGAAAGAGGTTCGCGTGACGAGTCGGGGTGTTTTGGCGAAGAGCTTTCAAATCGTGCTCTGGTGATTTCGTGAAGGGGGCTTCAACGTGGGCACTTTGGATCGCAACAGAGGAGTTCAACCAGGCTAGGTTTCTACGAACTCGACAACAGAAGACCTGTAGCGGCAGTTCGGTTTCGCGGAGGAGTTCGCGAATCGTCGCGACTGCTTGCGGGAAGGAGTTCCCGCGACCAGGGGAGTTTGGCAAATTTGGCGCAGCATCGCGACAAGGTGTTTGGCCCGGAGAGGTTTCTTCGCACGTCAGCCGGGGAGTGCGCGACAGGAGGCTTTGCACGACTCCAGCAGGCGGATTCGCACGACTGAGGGTTCACAACATGAAGTTCGTGCGAGAGGGCTGTAGCGACAGGAGAAGAGGCAGTCGAGCGGTTTGCCAGTTTCGAAGAGGAGAGGAGATTGCGTGCAGTTACTGCGAACAGGAGCATCATTTTACGAATAGAGGAGTTCGACCAATGAAGTTCGCAAGTTTGTCGCAGGAGGAGTTCTGACATGTGGAGTTCGGCAGGGTGCAGTCAAAGCGAGCAAGCACGACTATTCACGAGCAAACGCGACTATTCGCAAACAGTGGTTTCGCGGAAGTATTTCGTGAACAGACAATACGTGTTTTGCGAATAGGCGAAGGGTTTCGACTTGTGGGACGTCAATTTTGCTGAGGTGTTGACTTGAACTAGAAAAGGGCTTCAGGCAAAAAAAATTCTTATTCGCGAAGCACAGGAGAATCGAAAAAAATTACTGCAATTGACAAAGAAAATTTCATGATTAATTTCAAATGACAATGTCCGATGCAAAATTTGAGATAGTGAAGTTCGATGGAACCGGAAACTTCGGATTGTGACAAACAAAGGTGAATGATTTGTTGGCACAAGGAATTTTGAAAGCTTTGCGAGCTACGAAACCTAATAATATGGAAGATGAAGATCGAAAAGAATTGCAACTACGAGTGGCACGTACCATACGTTTATGTCTGACAGATAAAATTATGTATCATGTTATGAATCTGAAATCTCAAGGAGAAGTATGAAAGAGATTGAAATCTCAGTTTATATTCAAATCTCTAACAAATAAATTGTATTTGAAGCAAAGACTGTATGGACTGAAAATGCAAACAGACACTGATCTGGCGCAACTTTTGAATGTCTTCAATCAAATAATCACAAGTCTAACACGGCTTGATGTGAGTATTGAGGATGAAGACTAAGCAATGATTATGTTGTGTTTATTGTCTTCCTCCTATGAACATCTGGTGACTACTCTTACATATGAGAAAGAAACAATCAAAATTGATGAGATTATTGCTGCATTGTTGGCTCACAACCAGCGGAAACAAAATGAAGGGGAAAACTCTCATGGTAATTGTTTATATGCTAAGGGTAATCATGATCGTGGAAGGAAGGAGTTCTGGAATGCGAAATTTCAGGTCAAAACCTAAAGACAGAAAGACGATTCATTGCTACAAGTGAAAGGAGTCGAAACATATGAAGAGAGATTGTACAAAGATCAAAAAAGAATTTGATGAGAAACATTATGTATTTTTCAAGTCTGTGAATATGGTGCAGATGAACAATTTAGATTGCAGTAATAGTGATGTACTTTCAGTTACAACAACTCAGTTGAATGATGCATGTATTGTTGATTCAGGATGCTCTTATCACATAACATCTAACAGAGAATGATTTACTTCATACATATTATATGATTCTGGTTCAGTCTATTTGGGTGATGATAAATGTTATAATATTGCTGGTATTGGCAAAGTCAGATCTATGCTGACACTATTAAAACATTATGTGATGTAAGACATATTCCAGATTTGAAGAATAATTTAATTTCCTTGGGCACTTTACACAGAAATTGTTTTCTTCTTAAGACAGATAAAGATAGAGAAACCATCAGAATTGTTAAAGGTGCATTGACTGTGATAAAATGAAAGATTATTGCAGGCCATATCTATAAACTATTGGGGAGTACAGTTATAAGTGAAGTTTACTCTGTTGAATCATATGATGAAAATGCAGCAAATATATTAACCAAGTTAGATACTATCAACAAGTTCTTGCATTGCTTGAACTTGTTGAATATTTGCAATTGTTAGAGCATGGTTGTCCAATCAACTTCGGTGTAATAAACTCCATGATGTATTTCTTTTAAGGGGCTGCATATTCGCCAAGGTGAAGATTTGTTAGGTATGACTCATATACCAAAAATTGGAGTCTCCTGTAATAAAAAGATGTGTCTATTGGAGTGAAGAGATGTGTCTCTTGAAAGAAGAGGTATGTCTCTTGGAGATAAGTGGGTTGGGGGAGCGAGGACGTGCTAATAATTTTATCTGTG